CATACTGGGACTCACTTTTGAGTTTTAGCAGCATGCACATTGTACACTTACCTTTATTATATATATTGATATTGATTGATTATAACAACATAGTTTTTATCTTATTCATCCCTTCCCTTATGTAGTCTTTTCTCATACCCATTCCTGTCCTATACAAGACATGTGCTTTATAAGCAAACTGGAAATATAAAATTACCTGAAATGTATGAAGAGGTGTATTATCATCAATGACTGCATTTGGCATTATGTATGATTCTAGATCATATCTTTCGTTAATTTCTCCAACAATCACTTTGAAAAAATGTGTTGGGACAGCAACATGATTAGATCCAATAACTTCATATTTTACATACATTTTACCATCATTTTCTTTTCTAAAAGTACATAAATATAGTATTATATTATATTTATTTACAATTATTTTTATTATAATTATAGAGAGAATTAAAGAAAATGAAANACACTTGCACAGGTTCGAATCTAACGGATTTTAAGCCTGATGAAGACCAAGAGTACGGTTGAAAACGTTTGTTTATTATTAAATTGATTACTACTGGACGTTTAAAGGTTTTGGAGTTTTAATTTATATATTTCCAGTACTCAAGTGAGAAGATTTTAGTTAAATCCACTCTTCTTATTGCTGGCAGATTCAACCTCCTCCTCTTTTTTGGCCCTTGCTATTGCCTCTTCTAAGGTACTTGGTCTATTTTGCATAACCTGTCTATGTATTTCTATTAATAGACCTTTTATGAAACATGATAATGCAATCCTTGATTGTATTATCATGTTTATCAACAATCTAGCCTTGTTGCATGATAATACAATCATGATAATACAATCCTTGATTGTATTATCATGCAACAAGGCTAGATTGGGGTTTTGGGTTACAGCCCATGAGAATAAGGATTTTACTCTTATACCAAATTCACATACCTTTCCCCCTTTCATTGGGCAATTTTTAATAACTGGTCAAAGGATCTCGTTCTGTATCCTTATGACAAAAACACTTCTTGAGCCCCCATTTAATTTCATCGTAACTATTTATCCCTTGATTCCTTAAATCAAAAAGAACAGTTAGAGGCTCACCTTTTAAACAGCCCTGGACAATGGTAACCTTAACAGTTTTGCTCCAACTTGCTAGTGAAGCAACGTTCTCCACTGTTTGGAAAAATCTTCGCATATCCAATACATCACCAGGTAAGTTTGAAAAGCACAGGATCATACACATGAAACCTGTCACCACAGGTACTGTACATTCTCAATCTCTCCTGTTCCTACTCCAGACAACATACTCGAAATTTGCTCTTCCATAATACAGTAAGACCAAACTTACACAGAATACAGAACAACTCTTGTTTACGTTAACAGTCCTTGTACAATACAGCTTGACGCCAATATTCTATCCTTGGTATACCAGGATTGTGTGCAGGGTAACTGTAATACAAAGACAACAAGGACTTTACACAAACCTCAATGTATGAGAAAACAAAATTTATTCTGTTTACTTACATCCAGTAGTAGGTCTTAAAACAACAGACTCATTGGTTTCCTTTACAGTAAAAATACAAAAATCAAATGCGTATATGCATCAAAACAAACAAAGGAAATATATACAATTGTCTTGGTGGTCGTACTATCTCCACTTTCATCTCCCCCATACAATTATAATAATTGTTCCAAGTGTGGAGAGAACACTACCATTGGCTATGATGTTCAATAAAAATAAAGGTCTTACACTTGCCCTTAACAGTTCCCTTTGCACTTGGCATTAATTCCTTGTTGATGATTGCAAAACTTTCGTGGATTAACTTGGATTGTCCTTTTTCTTTAGTCTGACTTCCTATCGTCCATAATCTTTTCACTGGTATCCAAATTTCACTCTCACTCATAGCGTATGAGTAACAAGCAGGAGACTCCAAACAAAAAAGACCTCTTCTCAGTGAACACATCCAAATTTATACCTCCCTCTATTTGGGAGTATGTCACATGTGGTACAAATCTCACCCAATCAGCAGGTACACATAATGTACCCTATTACAATGTGACGTCCCAACACAACATGGAAAAAACAATTAAAAATTTTAGTACAATATATGACCTGATACAGAACAAACGAAACATACACACACAAAAATTACAATAATACTAGTGCAGTAGCACTACAGTATATAACAATTGTATATAAGACTTCCATTGTAAGGCAAACCCAGCCAGTCACATTCAATGTATTTTAATTTTGTTTCTTTGTATGTACTTGTTGTTTATAAAATAAATGTGATGTGGGCATTCATGGATCCTCCCCCCCTTCCTTTCCTATCCTCTTTTCTTCACCACTTCATTTTACACTATCTCTTCATCTTTCCTTCCATTTCATTACTTAGGGCTAAGTCAGTCATTAAACAACAGACAGCCCTCTAATTTCTTTAATAATGTATCTAAAGGACCTGCCACGCTCCTTGGATTAATCCTGTACCATACACCTCATCATCATTGCCAACTTCTCACACTTGGCAGATGAGCAAACAATGATTAATGATGCAGTGTTACATATATCTTTTTGCATACCATATGATATTAATTAACTTTATCCAAAAAATTCTTGAAAGTTAGACCTTTCTAACTTTATCTAGTTACAACATTGAAACATGGAGGGATGTTTGTTGAAGATCATATACTGGGGTGCCATGAGTCTACATTTAATGCTATAGTGAGTTATATTTAAGTCAATCTGCTTATAATTTCTTGTTTTAATTGATTTTAATATTATTTTATTAATTTCTGAATAATTATAACTTTCCTTATAATTTTAAAATTGAAAATGTTTGAACACAGAGATGTTCTCTCTTTGAAATGTATCTGTTCTGATGCATTTCATAATTTTTCACAGCTGATGGCATTTTTACAAAAGATCAAAAATGTTATCATATAAAAATGTAATTTGGTTTCCAGAATTAAGCCTTTTTTCCTCATCTTTTTGTTTTACAATAAGTTAAAAAAATTCAACAGGTGTAAAGAAATTTACCTACAAAATTGCTCTCCTGCTTTTAGCAACTCTGAATTCATCAATTATAAAAGACAAGCACAGTTCTGCAGAATATCTCTTTCAATAGACAAGATCAATAATGGAAATCTCTCAACACATGGATTTTCACAGTCCATAGCTTTTTCCACTATACCAGCTCTCACAGCTTTCTTAAGTCATAAAGTCATTGATTCTCCTGGTTTCCATTTCTTTAGTATAATTCTATGATGAAAACCAATGGTTTAATGGAAAGCTTCCTTGGAGTAACGTTTAGCAATTACCAAAATTTGCTGAAAGAAAACCAAAGTCAATTTGCAATTTAAAAAGAACAGTGGAAAGAAATCCTCAAAAAAGATCATGCCAACCAATAAAGTGGTCCAAGAAAGATAAAATAATGATTGTAAATCATTCCATCAGAATGTATGTTCACACTTCATAGCTTTCACAGAACACAGCTCTTAAAAGTATGAAAAGCTTCCCATTGTGAATATTGTATCGTTGGTTGGATGTTCCTTTAATTCAAATTTGGTTCTCAACCTGAAGATGGCCTGTGAATCAGGCTGAAAACGTTTGTTTGAAATAAATTATATTTCTCAGCAAGGATAAGGTGTTAGTTATATGTATAGGTTTGAGGTAGTTTTTGACAAATTTTAACTTTGAAAATAATTATTCAACAGATACTGATTTAACTACTACAATACACTATCAAATTTACTAAGCTCCAAGTGCAACATATTAAGCATTACCTGTTTTGCCTTTATGTAGGAGCAATGTTCTCCAAAATCAAATTTCTTTAAAGAATAATTTTTCAATCTTTCAAATAAAAGGAAGAATTATTTTATTTCAATGTTGGCAATGATGTTTCATTAATTTTTTTAAAAAACACAGGCCTGGGAGTGCCATTTCCCCTCTGAAAAAGTGAGAAAAGTGAGTTGAAATACAGAAAAGGTGAGTGCAATACAGGTAGCCCTCGGTTTATGCCGGCTCAATTTATGCCGATTCACAATAACGCCGCTGAGCAATTTGCCATTTTGCAGTGTAATTCCCCGATTTTCCCTATGCTAGACTGATTTTCATTTCAGTGTTGACATATTTACCGAGCTGCAACATTGTACATTCGTTAAAACAAAGATTTTTATTGAATATATTTATTTTTTCTGTTTAATATTATTGGGTATATATACATTTGCATTAAATTAATATTAAAATACTAAACATTTAGGTACCCACGAGTCAAGTTATTAAACTTAATAGTCCAACAAATGGTGTCTGAATCAATAGTGCCAATGAATGTATCCCGTATCAGATCGTTCAGGAAAACACTTTACGACGCAGTAGCACTTCCAGCGATCACAAATCATCATTAGTGAGACAAATCTACTTTTCATTGGCCAGACGATATCTATCTCTTCTTAGCCACCTTCAATTTTCCTGCTCAAACTGACCTTATATATGGGCTACGGCAACCAGTGGTCGACCAATCAGTGTCTCCGCTTGTCTGTAGCTCTATGTCGGGTTAATGTATCCTTTCAACAATGGAAAGTTTGATGGATGAACTTTGTGAGTTAGACAATGATTGGGAGAGAAGTGCAAATGTAAAAAGGAGCATCATATTCGACCATATTCCGAAATTCTCAATGAAAGAAAACAAAAATGTAAACAATTAAAGATGGTCTTTAAGCCTCTGTTTTAAAAGTCTCATAGTGGCACCAACGTAAACGAGATCTGAATTAAAACAGTGGTCACTTAAAGGAATAGAATACACTCCTGTACTATTGTTACGGTTTCCTTTCTTCTTATCATTTGGTAGAATTCTATAAATCGTAGGATTACAATGATAAATTATTCTTAAATTATTCTTGTGAGCTAATTTTTTAATCATCGAGTGTAGGAAAGGTTATTAAAGATGGATCCTTTTTTCCGAAAAATGTACAAGATCTGAAACTAAAATTTTTTAATAAAAACATTTCACTTTATTTTATGATAAAATACATTTTAAAAATTAAATTTATATGTATTTTGCATTATATTGTATTAATAAACAAAATTATTTGCTTATTTTTCACTTATGTAGAATCTAACGCTATACCTCACTGTAAATATGGATTCATTTTACGCTGATTTGATTTGTGCCGGCTTTTGTAGGAATGGAACTGCAGTGTAAACCGAGAGCTACCTGTAGTGACAAAACAAAGTGAAAACATGGAAGGAAAACTCAGCAAAATAGCAGTAAAAGTTTTTTCTTTTTATTGTTATGGTTAAATACATTTTAAAACTTTTTGTATATACTGTAATATTTCCAGTAAACCATGAATACTTAATAAGTCTTTGGCTTCTTCTGTAAATAATCAGTCATGAAAGATGATGTTCTTTTATTAAGATTTTTCTGGATGTTTTCAGCTTCCTTCTTTTTTGCTTCCTCTTGCTTTTGAACACTTTTAACACTAACAAGCATGACATGTGCTGCCCGTATTTCATTCATATTCTTGCTATTAATGGCCTTCTCCAGTTTTTTGTTTGCTGCTTCTAACAAAACCTGGCCTGTCTCGTGTATTTCACTTTCTTCTACTTTTTTCTGTTTTAAACTCTGCTGCAGTGCCATAATCTTTTCCTTGACATGAATAGCTCTCTTTTGATGTTCTTCAAAATTTTTCTGTGCTTCCTCTTCTGCTCTTTTTTTCTGTTTCTCTTTTTCTTTTAACTTCTTTTCATTTTCCAATTGATCTTGATAATTTCTATGTGCTGAGGCAGCTAATTTCAGTAAATCCTTTGTAATAGGTACAAGGTGTGGGCTTCGGTCATACATGTTTAGTCCCTCCTTAACAATCAAAAGTGAATTAAGCATTCTTTCTGACATTGATGCTCTATCAGGAGGAAGTGCCCGGCGTGAAATCGAAAATCCCCGTTCCACATCAGCATTGCCATGAGAGAGAGTCAATGCTGATTTCACCAATTTGGTTACACTGGGATATCTTGCATTCCCAAGGGAGTCAACCAATTTAAAATACTGACTCCAATAAGAATCAATTCTCACATCTGTTGAGTCTGTCAAATCACTCTCAACTCGCTCAAATTGAAGTAGACGCCACTCATCCTGCAAAGTATCCTCAGCAATGTCACATGGAAGAGCTCTTGCAATGCTTACAATGTCCTTATAAGTGCTTTTTTCACTAATATTACTTGGTTGAAGACATGTCAATGATTTCAACAGTTTGCATTGAATTGGAGCTTTTTCTATCATATATATGGAAGCCACAACATAGTGTTTCTGTAAGCAACTGCGAAAATGCAATTGATCTTTTTGAGATAATTTACTCAACTCATTAGAAACCTCAGCACTGCAAATAATTTCCTCTAATGGCAAAAGATTTGTCTTGTCAAATAATTTCTTTGGATTTAATACATTACTATCAGGCATAGCAGACTTAGACTGAATGACAAGCTTCAAAATATCTACTTTCAAAATTCTAGTAACTAGCTTTAGAAGCAAGTCCCACAGCTTGCTGTACAGGAGATGTATTAGAGGTTCTTCTCTTTGAAAAAATGATGTATATTTTGTGAAAATTTCTGCACTTGAAATGCCTTGTAGTACTTCTGCTTTCATGGAAGGAATCTTCAACAAACAAGATATACTTCTGTACAAAACACTTGACATTATGCTTTGTTTACTTGAAGGAATATACTTTAAGAAGTAGTAAGTTATGCCCTCCCACTGCTCAATTAACCTTGATGCTGCATCATGGAATGTCAGCCAACGTGTTGTTGAATGTTTTATAAATCTATGCTTAGGCAACTTGAGCTTTTCTTGCACAGCTTCATAATTTTCCCACCGAGCAGGCCATCCATCAAAAAATCTGTAAACTGCCACAATAAGTTCTGATGCATCTTCACCCAGTTCATTTAATGCTTTCAGATATGTGTTATGAATAATATGAATTGTACATGTTCCAATGTCAACAAGGCTTTTCTTGCGAATTCCCAGTATATCTTCCTTAAAAAGTCGTAACACTTTTTGATTAACATTAGGACCATCTGATCCTATCATCAAAAGTTTGTGTAGTGACAGGTTGGCATCATCGATAGCTTTGATAATGTATGTATGCAATGTTTCTGCATCTGCCCGTCCAAGAAAACATGTATTTAGGTGTCTGCAGACAACTTGTTCTTTTTGCTCAGACCAAAACCTAATCATTATCTGTAACTCTTTCTTACTTTCCACATTGCTGGTTTCATCATAACTAATTGTAAAGAATGAAGAGTGGATTTCTTCTAGCATTTTTTTTTGGAAGTAGGGAGCCAATGCTTCAGTTATTAAATAGCGCAATTTCTTCTCACTCATTGATATTCCTTCAGGAAGTTTAGTTTTTGGAAGCATTGCTTGTAGTGTTGGAACCATATTATTAGAAGCAGCAAATGAGAAATTACTACATATTGTTTTCATGGCCCATATCAGTTCTGCATGGTATGCAGCATCTCTTGGATTATATAAACTCACAGTTGCCAATCCTTCTCCAGTCCCATTATCAGTATTACTTGGAATTTCATCATTTTTTGATGGGCCTGCAAAACTATCACCTGGTGCAACCAATGTCAGGTGTAACTGTCTTGGACCATAAGCACAGGTAAATTTTTGTCTGTGTTTGACAGTACCTCCATGATCAAAAAGTGCTTGGAAACCTTTTTTTACTTGTATTATGCAATTACATACTTTGCAAAATACATCAGTGTCTGAACGTACAGTTGCCCATAATCCTACTGTACAATCTGCCTTGTCCTTTTGTTTCAACCAATCAGTTCGGAATTTGCACTTTGGTAGCGTCATATTGAGTGGATTCAAACCATTACATCTATACTCTAACTTGGAACCTGCTATAAACCAACAGTTTGTCGGTATCATTCCGCTAGAGATTTTTATTGGTCGATCACAATCGAAAGAGAGTAAACACGTGTTGACCACGTGATCGGTCACTTCTCTGCACGTGTTAAAAATAGAACAGAATAAAAAAATTACCAATAAAATAAAGCAATACTTAGAAAATTACTTTTTGCATGTTTTACCAATTCTATTTGATCATTTAAATATATATAATTTGTCAAAAATTAACATTAAATGTAAATTATTTAGATCTACACAAACTATATTTACAATTGAATAGTTTAACGTATTTCAAAATTTTATTTGTATATAAATTTTCCATTTTTGTAATGTGATTATTATATTAATTTGAAATAAAATTAACAACTCTTATTACGAACAAAATCAAACGATAATAAGCAGAAAACGAAACTTTTATGAGCACGATCGGAAACTGTTTATTTTTTAAAATGCTTCGAGATTGATTTAAAAATAAATTAATAAATCCGAAATAAACAGATTTCAAATAGAATAAGTAAAATAATATTTTATTAATGATTTCATAAATAACGAAGAACTTTTTCCTGCAGATATTCCCTCACCACCGAAACTGAAACTAACCCTTTACAAATAAGTGCTATAAATAGACTCTCAACTCTGCCTGCATGAAATAAAGACCTAACCAAATCAATCAAGACCGACAAATACTTTATCTGCACCTTCCCAAATAATATGTTTCAATTGATTTGATTGCAATTTTAAGTTACATTAATTAATTTTGATTTTATTTTTAATTTTAGCTATGATTTTGGTTTTTGTTTCGATATAAAGAACAGAGTTTTAAAATTTTAATTTAATTATAAATTTAAGTTAAATATTTTTAAATTTAATTATTATTTTTTGTTTTAATTAACTGATTACCTAGTTACATATAAATACAGACGATAACTTAATAACACTGAGCGGCAGTTGCGATTTTGAGTCCCGCTCAGGTGCAGTATTTTTTCCATAAAATTCTAGTTCGATAGTTCGATGCCGTATGAATGTAACTCGGGAAAAAAGAAGTGTGTAAAGTTCTTAAAGAGCACTAAAGAGGAACTGGAAAATGAAACCAGTTTGAGATGCATATGAATTGAAAATACAATAAAAGAGTTTCTGGACCTGACTTGCTGTAAGAAAGTCTACTGAGAAAAATATTTTCGGATTAAAGAGACAACCATTCACTGAACAAATATACAGCTACAATTAGTAAATTCAACATAAAAAAATTTATTGAAAACATATTCTAACTATTTACAATACTTGTTCATAAACAACATTTTTCATTTTGTTATATGTACAAATTTTTCGAATTTCCTACTCGAGAGCAAGCTACATATAGTTGACCGTGAGAGAAGCAGGAGTCTTTGAGGTTGATGCCGCAATGTTTTAAAGTATGTCCTTGCACTTTGTTAATTGTAAAACTATAGGCTAATTTAATTGAAAATTGCAGTCTTTTAAAATGGAATGACAGTTCAGTATAGATCAGTGGTATTCTGAGGATATACACCGTGTGTCCCTTGTCCTTTCCAGTCATAAGTTTGGCTTCGATGATGTTATTCAATAGCTGTTTGATGATCATCCTTGTTCCATTACATAGTTTTGATGAGTTCAGATTTCTGAGTAGTATGATCGGAGATCCAATTTTCAGTCGAAGGCAGTGTAATGGCATTCCTGGTACTTGCAAACAATTTAAAACTTCTGTAGGGAAGTTGACACTTTCTTCAATGTTTACCATCGTGTCGATCAATTTGTATACTCTCTCCTCACCGGGAATTTTCTTTTGAATATTAAAGTTGATATTGTCGACAATATTATTTTTAGTTGCCAAAATTGCCCTTTGAAATAGCCACTCCAAATTAGTATAGTTGTGAACAATGTTTGGAAAAATTTGGTCAATGAGTTCGTTTACAGTAGTGGCTATGTTGCAAAAATCACTGTTGAGTTCAATGAGGCTGGTCATTTGGTCAGTGGGATATGTGCCTTCGCCTATTTGTAAAAGTTTTGAGCAAAATGTGCTGTTGTTTCATCTTTTGAGAATTCAACTCTCATATTTTTTGTTACTCGCAGTATTTGTATGTGTGGCCAGAGATGTCATTTTTTAAGCATGCATTGATCTCATCTGCTGGTGTTGAATTGGGGATAACTGGAAGTGTTTGTCAAAAATTTCAAACGTTCTAAATGTTTCTAATAATGGAATTTTCACTTCTTTTTCAATTCTTCCCTTCGTCATTGATAAAAAACTAACGTTCAAACCCACGACGGATCTTGCTTTATATACCCCTACCAATGGGTAGTCCCACCCATACAAAAAAGGCTTCGAATGGTCTACAATGTTCCAGAACATTCCACAACATTCGAGTGTTCTGAAATGTTTCACAATGATCTGGGATGTTCCAGGATGTTCCCGAACATTCCGGAACATCCCAGAACATTCTGGAATGTTCTAGAAATTTCTAGAGGGCAAAACTTCCAGCCCTTATATCTTCACGCCCTTCAGGTAAAAAGGGGAACCTACTTCATGGATGGGGGATAGAGGGCTACCACACCATATAACTCCCTTGATCATACTGGGACTCACTTTTGAGTTTTAGCAGCATGCACATTGTACACTTACCTTTATTATATATATTGATATTGATTGATTATAACAACATAGTTTTTATCTTATTCATCCCTTCCCTTATGTAGTCTTTTCTCATACCCATTCCTGTCCTATACAAGACATGTGCTTTATAAGCAAACTGGAAATATAAAATTACCTGAAATGTATGAAGAGGTGTATTATCATCAATGACTGCATTTGGCATTATGTATGATTCTAGATCATATCTTTCGTTAATTTCTCCAACAATCACTTTGAAAAAATGTGTTGGGACAGCAACATGATTAGATCCAATAACTTCATATTTTACATACATTTTACCATCATTTTCTTTTCTAAAAGTACATAAATATAGTATTATATTATATTTATTTACAATTATTTTTATTATAATTATAGAGAGAATTAAAGAAAATGAAAAATAATTTACTTTGGTAAAAAAAGAGGACCAGTACACACATATACATTTGCATACGACTTAGTTAAGAGACGAACATACTTCTCCAACTTATTCCAACTGTGTCGATTGAATCCTTTTCCTATCTAGAATATATAATTAAACATATTAAAATATTGCCAAATCAAATTTGTTTCTAATAAAATCAACTACACAAATTTTTGAATTTCTTATGTTTGAATAAATTTAATATTCTAAATTAACTATTTAAAGTTTTTTTAATATATGCAAGTACAGTTTAACCCGATTATAATGTGACCGTTGGGTCAGTATCTCTTCGATACCACATCAGGATGATACCACTGTATCCTTAGGTCGATACAGAGACCACAAGTTCGCGCGAGCGGTTACATAGGAGGTTTGGACCTGGAATGGAGTGAATGGAGAGAAGAACATAAGAAGCTGTACTCAAAGATGGTTTAAACATAAATAACCGTTTATTTATATTAAATCTACGTTAGTTATACATCAGAATTTAAGGTTACAACGGTAGTATTGGCTACATATCAGTTACGTGAATTGCGTTCATTCTAGTTCAATTTCTAGTTACAATGAGTTCGTGATTGGTTTACGTGGAGAGAGAGAGAGAGCATACAATAGTGCGCAGGCAGGATAAATGCCTTATATTATTCTGTTATTCGAGTAACAGCAATAAAGTCCCACAGTTCTCTTCAAAGTTAAGTAGGTGAATTATTGATATCTTCAAGTTCAGTAGGAGAGGAGGAGGTGTTGGTTGACGAACAGGAACAGTCTCTCAAAGAATATCTCGGCGCGACACACACACACAAATAATAACTTCCACACCCCCACTCATCGTGCCCGTCCTTTTTATATGAAGTCCTCTTTTCGGGTCTTTCCCCGATTTCGTCAGAAATGACAATCTCCTTGGACCAATGAGGTGATGGGTGACACAATCATGACACAGAGATGTACAGTAATACCCCAAACTTACGCGATAGGTGGGACCGAGCGATAACCGCGTAATTCGGGGTATAATTTCGCAATTTGTGTAAAATCCAACTCGAATGTATGTAATCTAATAAATGTTCTCGTTAATCTTATTTTGTCTTTTGATTCGTTCACGGTTACAAGAAATCGCCACATTAGAGTCTCTCGAGTCTCCGTAGATATAACAAACACAGAAATAAATAACACAAAATAAATTGTAGCTATGTGTTGATTCCGCGCTACACGTCCGAACATGTAAACTAAACAATAGTGTGGGGGGAGTGAGTAATCAAGAGTTGTGTGGCACTCAAACAAAAGACAAATTGACGAGACTTGAAAATCGCATAACTCCCAGTTCGCGTAAGTTGGGGTAGCGTAAGTCGAGGTATTACTGTACTCATCTCAACAAGGAACCCAACTCGTGAGAATCGAGGTTTAACCAGATTTTATTGATTTTATGTTTCCCTTTTCTCTTTTAATCCTTTTATAACTCGTTCCGTCTTTATAAAGTTGCATTTAAAATTGAATTAAAATTTATAAAATATTTAAAGTTTATAACACGAACTTTCTGACCCTCATAATAACATCATCAGNTGTACATTCGTTAAAACAAAGATTTTTATTGAATATATTTATTTTTTCTGTTTAATATTATTGGGTATATATACATTTGCATTAAATTAATATTAAAATACTAAACATTTAGGTATCCATGAGTCAAGTTATTAAAGTTAATAGTCCAATAAATGGTGTCTGAATCCATAGTGCCAATGAATGTATCCCATATCAGATTGTTCAGGAAAACACTTTACGACACAGCAGCACTACCAGTGATCACAAATTATCGTTAGTGAGACAAATCTACTTCTCGCTGGCCAGACGATATCTATCTCTTCTTAGCCACTTTCAATTTTTCTGCTCAAACTGACCTTATATATTGGCTACGGCAACCAGTGGTCGACCAATCAGTGTCTCTGCTTGTCTGTAGCTATATGTCGGGTTAATGTATCCTTTCAACTATGGAAAGTTTGACAGATGAACTTTGTGACTTAGACAATGATTGGGAAAGAATTGCAAATGTAAAAAGGAGCATCATATTCAACCATATTCCGAACTTCTCAATGAAAAAAAACAAAAATGTAAACAAAGATGGTCTTTAAACCTCTGTTTTAAAAGTCTCATAGTGGCACCAACATAAAC